GGTGAGAATCTGATAAAATATGAATACATAGTTTACAAAAATTATACAAAAATGAAAATAATCCTTTGCTCGTGCAAATACGATGACTTAGATTTTTGAAGCAGTGAAAAATAAATAAAAACCTCATCTTATATGCGAGTAAATATGGTATTTTACTGATATCTTACATGTTAAAAAATATTTCCCTACATTAGAATCTTCCAGTAATGTAGTGGTAAAAAAATCTTTTCTGACAGAATTGTAAGGCACCTATGTTAAGGTTCTTCTATAATTCTTTTATTAATTAAAACTTTTTCACAAGTTTGATATCACTGTCTTTCCACTATGCTCTATCTGATTTAACTTCATTTCAAACAATCTCTTTATTTTTGTCTAACATTTTATCCTATATCATTGTATTATTCTTTTTATCAAGTGGAACATTAGTGAAGTCTCTTCTAAGTGACTTATGGAATTGAGTTCATTTTCAAAATTTGATTGTTTGGATTTGATTAAACTTTGTCATTTTACATAATATGAGATAAGGAAATTAAAAATGTAATAAAAATTGGGAGTCCATGATTTCGTTTTTGAGACATATTGGGGTCAAAGTGACAATGTTTAAGATCTAGCAATCTTAAACATTTTCAATTACAATTTCTTATATTCTTTTTATATCTGTGGCAATTTTGCTGCTATGGTAGCAGCAAGTGATTATCGGAAATGGCCCCTCCAAAACAGTATTATTGACTTTCTAGCACTTTAATTTAATTCTTAGTTCATGTTTGGCAGTAGAAAAAATATCAAGTTCTCTTATATTTTCCAATGTATGAATTTACGTAAATATGGTCAAATGATTCTCCTCCAAATTAGTTGATGATGGAGAAGTGTTTTTGAATATTAATCAAGTTTGTTTTTTCAGTGACATATGTACATCTTTTTCTTATTGTAAAAAATCTATACTTATCAATGCACACACTACAGAAATGTTTATTTTTCAGATGCTTCTACGACAATTATCATTAACAAAATTGTTCTCCCAGAAAGCAAACAGATTGAATAATGTTAATAAAATGTCTTTTTTTATTAACAAAATTGGCTCTGAATAATGATAATTTTGTTTACATTTAATCCTCTTCCCAAATAAATGATAAATAAATGTTAGTATGAATCCTTACGTACATACCTTACATGAATATTCAAAAATAATTTTTAAATAAATATAATAAATTTAAAAATATCAAGAATAAATTAAAAATTATAGTTTTGTATAAAAAACCATTGATACTATCAAGATTCAAAACACAAACCTCACAATTATGAAAGCGGCATGCCCACCAAGCCATGGGCCACTCTACAAATGGCAGAAATTCTAAATGATTTGCAATTTTCAATCTCGATTTTCTCATTTAATTTTGAGTATTGTGTCTTACTGCTTGGCACATGTCAGTTATAGGGGATGCACTATAACCTCACCAAGTTTGATTCAAATCAGTGACCCTAATGTCATGCCATCCCCTCATTAGTGATATAAATTTCAAATTATTTGATAATTACAGCAATAGAACATATTCTTCAGATTAAATATTTCACACATTTTATTAACTAGTTGATGATAATGATTAGCATAAATAAGATTTTTCAAACAACATTATTACCATTGATATTTGATCTAATATATTCTGATGATCTTTTTCCTCATATTCGTATTTATAATAAATACGTTATGTTGGATTATTCATTCAAAAATTCTGTTTATTATTCTGTACAGATTATGAATTATAAGCAGAAAAATTATTGATATTCTTTTGTATTTAATTAATTTTGTTTCATGGATGAATCCTTGAACAGCACTAATTTTTATATAAAATTTTTATAAAGTTGATTTTTAAACAATGATAATATGTTAATTATTTAGTTTTTATTTAAAAGTATATATCGTAAAAAGTATGATTATATTTAAGCATATGATAAATATTTTAGGTAAAGTTAGTGAATCAAGAACAAGATTTGGTTCTTCTTTTAAAACGTTTGCCGTTAACTGATGCAGAATTAAAAATTGTTTGTGAAAGAGCCGATCAATTGAGAGATGGGCATCTGGTTTCGAGAGGAGATGCACTTCTTCCACTTATGCTTGCTAGTTATATTTTTGATGCTCTAGTTTTATCAGGTAATTCTATACTTTTTATAATTTAATATTCCAAATCTTTATATTCTTATTAAGTTAGAGACTGTCTTAAAGAAACCATTTCCAAATTTATTTTGATCAAAGCCTGTTTCTCTTGACAATTATAATTTTTGCCAGACTTTTAAATGAAAAAATGCCAAATTATTGTACACATGCACCCAAAACTTAGTTAAAGCAGGTTCTGGCAGTAAATATATTTTGAATTGTTATATTCTTCTAAAAGAAATTAATACATTAAAATCATAGTTTGTCTGGAAATTACAGCATTCAACACAACGTAAAAATGTAACACTATTGAATACTATTACTGCAGTACTAATGTCAAAATCTCACAATCAAAAGATGTCTAAAAAATGTTCGCATGCAAATGATCAAAGTGCCATATTTTTTATATCAAGTTAATCTAATTATTTGATTTACAAGTATACTTATTAAATTAATAATTTCATTAACAATTGTGTCTAGTAAAATTTCTTGTGCAGTCTGCAAAAAAGTATGAAATCTTAAGTGTATAATATTTGCAGCTTGAGAGAGCATTTTAAAATAATTTAAACAAAAAATATACCATATTTACTTGAATAATCCATATACTTTTTCCAAAAAGTCAGTATGTGCAATTTATTTGAAACAAATTTGGTGATGCAACCCACAAAGTACAGGGAGCTTCCAGTTAATATGCATTTTGTTTACTTTGGTAGTGATAAATATAATCAATAGTTACAAGTATTATTATTAAATGTTTTGGTGCAACTAATTGTGTGAAAATAAGGATAAATAAAGTAAGTTAAATGTATAACTGAGACTGACAGTAAATAATCTTTATACCTAAATTACCTTTTAGTTCAAGCTATTGGTATATTAGCAGTATTTAATCTTTGATTCAAATTGAACTATATACTGAAGTCTTACTTTCATTTAATTCAGTATAAGATACATTACCACAAATTGCAGATAAGTTTTCTTTATCAGATATACAATAATCTATTTTTTCCTTGGTATTTTTATTTTTTAAAACTACATTTGTAAACTGAGTGCTATCATATTAAATGCTACTAAATAGCAAGAATGAATGTTGATATTGTGTTATAACTATAAATTAGTAAAATTTGTCAAATGTATAATAAATTAAATTAATCAAGTTTTTTTAAGATACTGAATTAAATCCAGTATCTTAAAAATTATCAGAGATTATTCAAGTAAATATAGTAATTTAAAATTATAAAATTAATGAAAGATTACCAATTTCNGTGCCAGAAAAAGAGCATATGCAGCAAGTTTTGCTTTTCTGCTTTAATTTGAAGAAATCGGCTGCTGAAGCACATCGAATGCTTGTGGAGGCTTATGGAAACAGAGCTTTATCGGAAACCACGTGCAGAGATTGGTTTCGTCAGTTCAAAGATGGAAATTTTTATCTGAGTGACAAGAAGCGTGAAAATCGGCCCAGGAAGGTTGAGGACCATCAACTGCAAACTCTTTTGGATGATGACGATACCCAATTGCAAAAAATGCTTGCCGATCAATTGGGTGTTACTCAACCAGCCATTTCCATGCGTCTACGTGCCATGGGAAAGATTCAGAAGATCGGAAAATGGGTGTCGCATGAATTGAACGATAGGCAGATGGAGCGACGCCAAAACACATGCGAAATCTTGCTCGCCAAACAAAAAAGAAAGTCGTTTCTGTATCGGACTGTAACTGGCGATGAGAAATGGATATATTTTGAGAATCCTAAACGCAAGAAATCGTGGGTTGATCCAGGCAAACCATCAACATCTTTCCCAAGACCAAATCGCTTTGGACGGAAGACAATGCTGTGCGTTTGGTGGGATCAGCAGGGTATTGTCTACTATGAGCTGTTGAAACCTGGTGAAACTGTCAATGCTCACTGCTACCACCAACAACTGATCAAATTGCACTGTGCTCTGCGTGAAAAAAGGCCGGATTATCAGCAAAGACACGACAAGCTGATTTTCCTCCACGACAATGCACCATCGCATGTGTCAACATTGGTCCGAAACTACTTGGAGACACTCAACTGGAAGGTGCTACCCCATCCCGCTTATTCACCAGACTTGGCCCCTTCCGACTATCATCTCTTTTCATCGATGGGCCACGTGCTTGCTGAGAGGCACTTTGATTCTTATGAAGACGTCTGAAAATGGCTTGATGAGTGGTTTGCCTCGAAAGAGAAATTTTTTTGGCATGGTATCCACACATTGCCCGAGAGATGAAACAAATGTGTCACTAGTGAGGGAAAGTACTTTAAATAAATTTGTTTTTGCTAAGAAAAAAACGTGTGTTTTTCTGACTAAAAAATAGCGGATTTAAGCTTATACATTTATGTACTTTAAACAGTTAAAGTAGTTTTGACATGCTGGGGGCAAATCCAGCATCTCACAACTACATTAACTGTTGTGAGATGCCAATATTACCTTATACCACCTAATTGGCAATGGTTCAGTAAAAACTGCTCACTTTGTCAAAGGATGGTTCAAAAAGATATTTATTAAATGATGTCAGAACTGACACCATTTAGGATAGGATTAATGCGTCCTAACTTGCGAGATAAATTTAATACGTTTAAAAATAACAGGGCTTTAAATTTGAGAGGGGGTGTCGTAATTTTGTTGATAGGCCTGTACACATTTGAATTGACTGACATTGAGACTAATATAATGAACAAACAATGAGATTTAATAAAAATAACTAATAGAATACAGACATTTGAATAACTAAATAAACTATTCCTAAATATTTTTAATATTTGTGAGAGAGAGAGTTTACAATATTATAAATATAATACCTCTGAATATTTAATTCATTCTATGAGAGTTCATATGAGGTGGANAACATTATTATTAATTTGAATTTGTTCTTTTGCATCTTCATTTTCTTGCACTGCCATATCTGTTTTGTTGTGTTTTGTATCATAATTACATATGGACTTCTCAGCATGTGAATTTATGTTATTTTTATCTTTGTGTGTTATTAAATTATTATTATTGGATTGAGTTTCCTTTAGATCATCACTACTTATATTATTGAATGACGATATATTTTTTCCTCTATTAATGGAAATTTCTATATTGTCATTCAATAATTTTAACTTTTCATTTCTATTTGCAATTGAATCTGAATGAATAAATTTGCTATTTGGATCATTCCAATCTTTAATTTCAATCCCTAAATCTAGCTGAACAACTTGTCTTGCTTCTTCAATAATCATTTTTGCAGCTTCTTTCTCTGTCACTCCCTTTTGACCTGTGATCCATATAACATGAGCTTGATGTCTCTTTTTTAATTCATATTCTGTTTCAGATTCTTCTGGTTTAGCACTGAGATTTAATAAAAATAACTAATAGAATACAGACATTTGAATAACTAAATAAACTATTCCTAAATATTTTTAATATTTGTGAGAGAGAGAGTTTACAATATTATAAATATAATACCTCTGAATATTTAATTCATTCTATGAGAGTTCATATGAGGTGGAAGTCAGGCGACCAGCACAAAATTATAAGGATTGATGGAATGACTGATTATAGTTAATTCATGTGGAATCTGGCATGTAAACCCTTTTATACAGAAAATATTCTTTGATCAGGAATTCTTATTGTGATCATTTGACAATGAGTTGATTTAGCTCGGTATTTAGTCATCGGGTATGATGTGAACTTTTTAAGGAAGTGAATGGTTGGGAAAGGAAACTGTATTTCCTTATCCTCACTTAATTTCCCTCATAAAGTAGAAAATTGTCAAATTTAATATTGAAATAGTACATCGAAATTTAAATTAATAAAAATTAAATGAATCTTATAATCAGATTCTCACATAGTTATTACAACTGTTTAGTATTCAGTAACAGATACATGCTGCATGTCATATTGTAAATGTAATAAAATCCCACACATTGTTTTAATAAAGATATTGAATTAATGTAAATATAGATTTTTTCCTACATAAACATTGGACAAAAACATTGTATTTAGAGAGATGATAGCTCTGAAGTTCGGATGTGAAAACAAAAAATACTGTACAGATGTTTGAAAATTGAAAAAAAGAAATGTAGTGATTAATGCTGCTCAATTTTTTAAATTATAGTTTTAAAAATTACATTATATTCTCAATATAATGTAGTATTTTAACATTATATCACTTTGCAATATAATTAAAAATTTTTATTTTTAACAATGATAAAAACTTTTTCATCAATTTGTAGGAACATCACTTTAATTTTTTTTTAATTAAATGCTATCCTCCACTTAAGGTTTCAGTTTGTAAAAATGTTTTTCTTAGCAAAATAATAGCGTAAATATAAGTTTTAACAAATCTTGTTTAATTGTACTTGTAAAAAATAAAATATTTTATTATCTGCCTATATTTTGATAAAGTAAAAACTTGTGAAGGTTTGTCAACAAACAAACAATGAAATTTCAACATTTTGAATGTTGAATAATTAAAAATATAATCTAGATTATATTTAAATCTAGACTGATCTGAATTGTATACCTATATATACTTTTCTTGTTTAATAAGAAACATTAATGTTTTATAATTTCTTGATTAGGATGTGACATTTGTTGTAATAACATAACTAATTATAGTAGATTTCTTCAATTAAAAATCAATTCCTAATTACTTCACAAAATTAACACATACAAAAATATAATGTATTTCATATTTTTGTAATTCATAAAGTTATAACTTTTTAAATTTCATAATATGTGGCATTTTAGATCTTTTCTTTTTATACATTGAATTATTTATTTATATAGGACGATCTATAGTATTAGATAATGGAAAATCTGCCGATGAACTTTTAGGATTTGAAGCAGCAGTTGCTGCACTGGGTAAGTTATTTTCAAATTTTTAATTACTTAAAAAAATTTTTTTTAATTAATGATAACTCACAAAAACATTAATTAATTACTTTGTGAATTTGTTGGGCTGCAATATGAAAAAATTGTAGACCTATAAATTCCCACTGTTGTTTGTCCGTCTTTCCTTAATCTTGAGAACAGAATTAAACAGATGAAAGACAAGATCAGATGTGGAAACTTTAGAGACAGGAGGCCCAAATTATCTATATAAGAACTTTTGATGCAAACCAGAAATCACATTATTTTAGTTAAAAAATTTTTCCTCAAAAGGTGTTATATAGATGACTGGCAAGACTCTATTGTTAAAGGAAAAGTATGATGTATGTACAGGGACAAGTCAGTACTGATTTGAGGCAGAGAGAATATATTTTAAATTAAATAAGTTAAAAATAGGATTAAAATTTGCAGCTCANTATAATTTAAATTAAAATTAAAGACAAAGTCTACCCAAAAGGGACCACCATTTATTTCTTGTGTCCCAGACTACACATTCACATTGACAGACCTTTCTTTTTAGGCTACAAAGTTTACAAAAGAAAAATTGAAATGTATTGTCACCAGGGGAAGTTTCCAAAATCTGCATTTTCCAGTGCTTGTTCCAGTAGATAAAAGCAGAAACACCCCATAGGATGGATGAAAAGCAAGATGTCTGTATATCACCAGTTCTTTTTTAGAAATTTTATAATTTTAATTGGATATATTTGTGTTTTTTAAAGGACTTTTTTAAAATTCTGGCAGCATGTAGCCTAAAAAGAAAGGTCTGTTGCCATGAATGTGTAGTCTGGAATACAAGAAATAAATGGTGCACCCTTTTGGGCAGACTTTGTCTTTAATTTTAATAATAATAATCTCCATTGGACGAAAAAATTTACAAAACATTATAACTTGTTGATCTAGTTTATCAATCTACATCTACATCTATATCTATATCTACAGTATGTATAAATAAAAATGGACGTGTTTGTGCCTATACGTCACTCTGCAGCCAAAACTACACATCACAGATGAATGGTGTTTGTGTGTGGTAGTAGCACCAAGTCTCCCATCGTGCACTATGATGGTTTGTGCCTCGATAGCTATAAGGGTGTAAGAGATATGGGGTTTGAAAGTGGTTGATTTCAAGAATGTGTGATGCTTCAATGAGAATGTTCCAGTTTTTTCTAGAAAGTTCCAGAACCTAGAGGTGAAATTTGGTACACAGTTAGGGTACATCATAAAAACACACACTAAGAAGGGATTTTTTTGAAATTCCCCCATGGGGAGAGGGAGAGCATTAAGGCTTAACCTGAAAAACGGCTTCTACTATATTATTTTAGATGTGATTTTTTGTTTTTAACTGCGTTTTAGTAGGGTACGTCATGAAAACGCATACTAAGAAGAGATTTTTCAAAATTCCCTCGCAGGGGGAGAGGGAGAGCATTAAGACTTAACCTGAAAAACGGCTTCTACTATACTATTTTAGATGTGATTTTTTGTTTTTAACTGCGTTTTAGTAGGGTACGTCATGAAAACGCATACTAAGAAGAGATTTTTCAAAATTCCCTCGCAGGGGGAGAGGGAGAGCATTAAGACTTAACCTGAAAAACGGCTTCTACTATACTATTTTAGATGTGATTTTTTGTTTTTAACTGCGTTTTAGTAGGGTACGTCATGAAAACGCATACTAAGAAGAGATTTTTCAAAATTCCCTCGCAGGGGGAGAAGGAGAGCATTAAGACTTAACCTGAAGAACGGCTTTTACTGTACTATTTTAGATGAGATTTTTTTCGTTTTTAATTATGTTTAGTCTTCATTGAGTACTTAAAGGTATTAAATTCATAATATTTCAGACATTGTTATAAATATTTTTATATATTTCAATTTTTTAACCAAATGTTTGAATCGTTTTAAATTCAAATTTCTTTTTGCATATTGGTTTGATTATAGAATGATTGTAAACGTTCCAGAAAATTTATCAAATTAAAAACAGTTCATTTGATTCTCAGTGGTAGGTGTTATATAACAATTACTATGGTTGTTGAAATATTGAATGTAAATAGGGTTTACTTGCAAAATCTGTGCGAGCGAAGCCACAGGTAACAGCTAGTATAACATAAAACATAAATCTTGATGATAATGCAAAAGCCTATTTTGAAACAAAAATTTCTGAAAATATCAGATAGTTTCAAGTTTTTTAATAAAGTAAACAATTTTATTTTTTGTTATTACTTATCATTCATATGTATTGAATTTCTATGCCTTAACCATTTTTTTACTGTTGTACCAGAAAAAAAAATTAAAATTTTTAAAAATAAAATATTTATTAGTGATGCAACGAATAGTATATTCGGCCTCAGGCCAAATACCGAATATTCGGCCAAACTATTTGGCTTGATTAACGCACGTACGAAAATTGGCAAGGATCACGCACCCATCTCTCTATTGACCCGCTGTCACTACACTTCACCAATCGCATTAATTCTTGACAGTTGTAGCGGACAGACACAGGCGTCATGGCAGTATGTAATAAATAATGATATCAAATGTGGATAACAACGAAATGACCTACATGTATAAATAACGGAAAAAGAACAGAGAAGGACCGCAAAATGAAAATGTGAAAATAAATATGAAATTGAGTTGATAACATAATCGAACAAGTCGAAGCAGTTTATTGGTGCGAAATTCGCCGCTGTCAATGCCAAATAATTGTTCTCATAGATTTCGGAAACTAAATTCTTGTAATGAAAGTCACTTAGAATGCATGAGCGAAAGCCTGGGGCCATTCAGGCACCAAGCTGTCTGGAACTTCAGTTATGATAAATAATTTTCTACGATGAAACAAAAAAGTTAATTTAATTTTCAAGTTTATAATAAGAGATGATGTCATAAAAATGCTTTACAGATCATTAAATATTTTTTTTTCATGTTTTTATTTACCTGAGTTTCTATCTAATGTGCCCATGCAGTAAAAATTTTCATACAAATTTTTTTCCCTTTTCACTCCTTTAGGGTTGAATTTCATAAAATCTTTTATTAGCACACCTAAACTATACAAAAGGAACACACCCTCAAATTTTTAAGATTTTAGCACCAGTAGTTTTGGCTCTGCATTAATTATCCTATCAGGACTTGTTCTTTTATATACAAGTACTAGCTGTTACCCGCGACTTCGCCCACGTAGGTTTTGCAAGCAAACCCCATTTATATTCAGTATTTCAACACCCATAGTAATTGTTATATAACACCTACCGCTGAGAATGATGAGAATTGCCTAGAATCAAACAAACTATTTTCAATTTGATCAATTTTCTTGAACGTTTACAATCGTTCTATAATTTAAAACGGTTCGAACATTTGGTTAAAAAATCGAAATATATAAAAATATTTATAACAATGTCTAAAATGTTATTAATTTAATACACTTAAGTACTTAATGAAGACTAAACATAACAAAAAAATTGCATCTAAAATAGTACAGTAGAAGACATTTTTCCAGTTAAGACTTAATCCTCTCCCTCTCCCCCTGCGAGGGAATTTCGAAAAATCCCTTCTTAGTGAGCGTTTTCATGACGTACCCTAACTGTGTACCAAATTTCACCTCTTTAGGTTCAACGGTTTGCTCTGGGTGATGATGAATCAGTGAGTGAATAAGTCAGTGAGTCAGGACAAGCAATTTTATATATATATGTTACCGCTAAAGCTCGAAAGCCATTAATGTGTGCATTATCTAGCTAATTTGCAGATTAACTAGGGTGATCCGTTAAAGTTGCGAAAATTGTTCCATTTCTCAAATTACCTAGGTAATGTGCAGAGTATCTAGGTAATCTGCACATTACCTACTAGGCACTTGGTAAAGTGAAAATAAGATCTTTGCTGGAACAACAGCAACGTTTCTGTACACTTAAATTAACATAATGTCGTTTATTTAATTTTCAATATCTAAAGAATCAAGTTAATACAATCAAACAATCCACAAATTAGTTAATAGAATTAATCATCAATCAAGTAAAAAACTGTAATACAAAAAATCAAACAATTTAAAATATTATTACAATTAGGGAAATGGGGGATTATATAGATTACCACCTATGGAATTTCGGAACTTTGAGTATATATCTGAACTGAGGGGACTGAGATGAGTTCAACGATACCCTACTTTTGGATCAGAGACAAAAAATAAGAAAGTTATCATACTTTTTCTGGCGATCGCATGATAAAATTGTGCGTTAATGTTACCTTTGGTGACTAAAATGGCGGCTCATCTCTGATTCCAGCAAACCGAAGAAAGGAAACGAAGAATAATTTGGTTGGTAATAATTATGGTAATTTATTAGAATACGTTAGAATGTGTGTCCCCACTGTTTTGTTTCTTCTGTTTGCTGGAATCAAAGACGAGCTGCCATTTTAGTCGCGAAAGGTAACATTAACCAATTGTGGTTACTTATTAGTGCAGTCTAAAGATTGGTGACACTTTGAATTACATAGCAATTGGTTTTTCTGACAGGCACACCTATTTGTGGTACATTTATTTGTGGCACATTTATTTGTGGCAAAGATCTTATTTTCACTTTACTGAGCGCCTAGCAGATTACCTAGATACTCTGCACATTACCTAGGTAATTTGAGAAATGGAACAATTTTCGCAACTTTAACGAATCACCCTAGTTAATCTGCAAATTAGCTAGATAATGTACACATTAATGGCTTTCGAGCTTTAGCGGTAACATATATATGAGTATATAGATGACTAAACTACATAATAAGTAGGTAGTTTTCATTTAATTTGTTACCTTAAAAAATAACTTAGTTATATTACTTTTCCTTTGATCTTTTACATAAATAAGCAAAAAAATTACACTTTCTCAAACTTGAAATGTATTTGTTCAATACATTAAGAGGGCGTACTCACACTCGCTTGAAATGTATGTTCAGCATTAATAAAAGTTACCAAAATGATTAATTTACTGTGTTTTTGTTATTTCTTACTCCTTTTTTAAGTATTCGGTATTCAGCTGAATAGTAACCGAATATTCCTTGCATCACTAATATTTATCTTTTTATTTTTTCTCTATCAAATGTGATTGATATCCCAAATTATTCTGGATAATTTTGGATATTAAAGATTACTTTTAACAATCACCACTCTACTGTACTAGAAAATTTTTAAACTGACAGATATTCAAATAAGCATATATCAAACTTTATAACACTAAAGAGCTGTAATATTTGCAATTTTAATAAATTTATATTTCTTAAAATAATTATTTCCCAATATTTAAATATACCAAATCAAATAAAAGTAACTTTTAAAAATTACCTTTGAAAAGGAACTGAATTTTTTAAAATCATCTCAATTTCATTAACATTTGCAGTAGCAAGTGATGACACAGATTCAAAACCAGAATCAAAAAAAGCACGTGCTCTGTTAGCATTTAATGAATTTAATCGAACGAGATCACACAATTCATGCTGAATACCAAAATGAAGTCGCTTTTGGAATTGTTTAATAAGTAATTCCATGTTTGTCCATCCCAAGCGATTGCAAAAAATTGTAACCATACCTATAAAAAAAAATGCAGAATAAAAAGTTAAATTTCATTAAAATATTTTCATATAATTCAAACAAATCATTTATTATTTTATAATTTATATTTGTAATATAATATAAAAGTCTTTTATACAATAAAAAAAAATTCAATGTTAAAGTGTATATATGATCTTATCTTTGTACAATTTTGAATATAGTGTAAAGTATAATACCATCAAAATTATGTCAAGTAGAGTTAAATTTTTCAAATTTAATCTATTCTTCATATTGAATTTGTACTAAAAAATTACTATTTATACAGTGAGCAGCAACAAAATTTTTTATTTAACTCTACAACTGTTTGCACAAAAAACTTTATTTAGCCTCTTGTTTTTTATTTCAATTCCTTTAGTAAAAAATAAATATATTTTCATTTATTAATTAGAAACATTTTATAACAAAACTTTTCTCTATGAAGATTCTAAATTTCAACCTGTGTATTCAATGTGATATAACTACTTTAGATATAAAAATTAACTTCATTATGTTTAATGAATAATTTTTTTAATTAAAATAAATTACAAAATCTGTCATGGTAATATCGTGTAAGAACACGATTGATCAATTTGAAGTGGCAATGCATGCATCTCAAGAAAGAAATGATTGGCAAAAACATCACACCACGTGGCAGACCTGGAATAGAGCTGAGACCAGCAAAACTGCTGATCGGTCAGCTTCTTGATGAACAAGTTTAGGAAATACAAACTAAGTGAACTTTTCATTGTGTTCTTGGCATGCCAGAATGAATGCAAATTGTAAACAGTTGTAATTTTTAACTTTACCAGTACAGTCGACGTAGATTTGGGTTTCATACAGTATTGGAGGACGACTTTGGAAGTGGAAAAGACCCTCATCAGGAAGACTGAACTATGACACAAGTGAACTCAGGATCCAAGAACACGATGAGGCAGAGATACAGCAAGCTATGGAGAATCGTTGGCAGTCATAGATGACCCAGGTACCTTTTTGCACAGAGATGCCAAAACATGTGAAATCTTGGGATTGGGTTAGGAATGGGCTGGGTGTATTGAGGATCAGTTGCAAAGCAAAGGTAAACGGACCTTCGGGGACAGAGTAAACTTGACGAGGAACAAATCATGAGATGTGGTCAAACTCGCAAAATCCAAGTTAGAGTGGGAAAAGATGTATTACAAGTCTCAAAACTCTGCAGATCAAAGGACCAAGGAAAACTGTGATGATCAGGCACGAGGCAAAGGTAATTGGACCTTCGGGGACAAAAACTTGATGAGGAACCAACCACTAAGTGAACTTGAAGTGTTAAGGCTGTGAGGCCAAGATCTTGAGGAGAGAGAGGGAAAAGACAGAGATCAAGTTAGAGCAGGAAAAACTGTATTACATGACTCAGAAACCTGAGGACGGGATCACTGGGGAAATTTTACATGATCCAATGTAAAAGGAATGACAGACACAGCTGGAAAAAGAGAAAGTGCCTTCTTGGGGCCGGGCAGAGACTCACAAGTTTCCAGTAAAACGAAGAGGGCAGATGGTACCGGGTGCAGTAGTGAGGAAATCCGGTGTATGAGTAATGAGACCAGACAGCTGCACTCATTGCTACGGAAAAGCCTAGGCTCAAGACAGCAAGGAAAAGTGCATAATAAGACACAGAACTCTATGAATCAAAACACCAACAGAATCATGCACAGGGAGTTTGAGGGACACTGCCCAGATCATGGGAAGGAGGGAAAATGCCTTCTTGGTCCTGCATGAATGAGTTTGTTCTGGAAACCCACGAGGTACCAGATAAGCCATTAGAGCAGAGTATACTAAGCATGGTGACAGAGATGTTTGGGGAAGCAAGTAATGAGGCTAGACATGAGCCACTCATTACTAAGGGAAAGGAGATAGAAGCAAGAGACAGCTTGACAATGAGGGCGAGAGTAGACAACTGACCCTCAACACAAGAACCTGGAAAAATAAGGGAAATGACTAGGTTAGTCGAACACATTGAAGCAGTCAGTAAGTGAGATTGCGACAGAACAGGCAGACTCAAAACAAAAGCAGTATGTGACCCAAGGAGTTTAATGTAGGAGATACGGTTCTAGTTAGGAAGATGCATCGTGATAATAAATTGGATGATTGCTGGGAGAGATCCGTCACGATAGAAAAAGGGGAGTGCGAATGTGGTTATGAGGTGAGGTTAGAAGATGAAGGGACGAAGTAGATAGGCTTCAGAAATACCATAACCAAGCCTATGGCTTCAGGGTAATATCAGCTCCAGGGAGATAATAGAGGCTTCTGCGATACAGAGGTCAAATGACCAAGAGTGGGAAAATGCGGAAATTAGCGAAGTTCCACTAGGTCTCCTGTCTGCTGCAAGGGATTACTCTTGTAATACTTCAAAGGAGTATCATTCGAGGATTAGGTCGGCTGGGGTCTTCAAACAATGGGTGGATGTTGCCTTGACATCCATCCCAATACAGGTATACCTCGAGTTATGTTGTTTTCAATTATACATTGTTTGTCAAAAAATATATGGAAAAATAAAAATCAAGTTTAAGTCATTATATTCAACTTTACATCTGTCCACCACAAATATTGAAGTCATAATATCACCAGAAAAGCATTAAAGCACATAAAATCATATTAAAATATGTACATTTACAGTAAATGTTAATACAATTATCATAAATCCTAGAGAATGAAACATGAAAACATCTGTGTTTCTGTGTTGTCATCTTATTTAGCAGTCTTTAAGTGCTCAATATTGGTATTTTCCATGGTAGCTCCAATATCTACCATTTGGCGTTGTTGTCAGCGCCACTCGATATTGGTAAATTTAATATAAATTAGTTTATTTTCTACTGTCGCAAGATAATTTTAATGACTGTATTTGTTATTTAACCTTACAAAATCATTTTATTTTATAATGTCTTAGAGCAAACCACATTCACAAATAAAGAGTCTGCAATGTACTGTAAACATCACTAAATTGTAAACATGTACTGTACAGTACATTTACAAGTATATACTGTACCTACATGAATTCGTAAATTTAGATTACTTTTTTCTGTACTATATTAAAAACTAAAATTTATTTGTTTATAAGCCTAAAATAGATTCTTATTAACCATATACAAGTTCAAGTTCAAGTTCTTTATTGCCGTACAAAGGTACAAGCCCGGTACTGCATAAGCACAACTGGTATTAACCATATACAGTTGACCCCCTGTAACATTGTTGATTTTTCCGTTTTATATGAATTCCATGCTGTACGAATCACTTAGATTTTACAAATAGGTGAGCCATTCACAACCGGCACATATATTTGTAAATTTCCCAGAGAATCAGAAGCCTCCTCGTCGGGAATGCAGACGGAAGGGCGAATTCAGTTAGCCAAAATCTTCCGACAATGAGTAGACACAGCCTTAGTAATAGGCCCAGTTGTTAAAAAAAAAAAAAGGCTGTGACAAGGCACAGAAATCTTATTGCATGTGCGGTCGCTAAAAAGGGGTCTGGACAACAGACAGATGCAGCCTTGATACCTGTCCCTGTAATCCAATGGGAGGAAGGCAGCGAGGAACCGAGGAGACCCCAGATCATGACATGCACAGCCATTTTTAAGTTAAAACAGATGGCATATGCGCTGTTTTCGTTAGGAGATCATAAGGCTTGGCCGATACAAGATAACGGGACACAGGTGAGAAGGATATTACAGGCCCGGAAACTGATGGCTATGGGTCATGGCCAGACTCAGGGTAGGAAACCAAAATCTTTTGAGAAAGTAGGCGGAGAGACAATTGATGACTGTTGAAAGGAAAGAAGGAAGTGCTGATGACACCGTGGGTGCCCTCCTCAGGAGAGGGTTGGCGAAGCCCAGTCTCGCAGAACGAGAGGGCAGGACATGAGCACAAGGAGACATGGCATCTCTGTGCATAAATGGGAATTGTCCTCCCGGGAGTTCCAGAAAGAAGTTGGATCAGTTCGTGTGTATTTAACATTCTGTACTTTATGGTGTTGTGATTGTAAGACATTGGGTATCAAACAGGCTCAAGTGAGATCAGTTTGATCCTCGGTTGGGGAGGTGTCATGATGATAATGTGTAAGAACATGATTGGTCAATTTGAACTGGCAATGCATGCATCTCAAGGAAAAGATGGTTGGCAAAAGCATCACACCATGTGACAGACCTGGAATAGAACTGAGATCAGCAAAACTGCTGATTGGTTGGCTGTCGATGATTATATAAAGTCGATGTGGAAGTGGAAAATTTGAGTTTGGATCTGTCTTGCTGACTGAGTTCTACAATAGCCAAAGAAAGTGTTACTGCTAGCCAACTGCTTGTCGGTCATAAGATGTCTTCTTGAAGAACAAGTTCAAGAAATACGAACTAAGTGAACTTTTTGTTGTGTTATTGGCATGCTAGAACGGATGCCAATTGTAAACAGTTGTAATTTTTAACTTTACTAAATCTATAATAAAACATATTCAAATATAATATTTGAAAAGAATATATTAAAAATAAATTTTTTCTATGACTGAAATAATATAAAACATTTAAAACCATTAACATATATTTTCATTAATTAACTGGGTAATGTGAAACAATTTAATCATTGTCAAACATTAAATATTTAGGAAATTATATCTATACAGTAGAGCGTCGCTTATCCGAATCAATTGGGGATAACTTATTTTTCAGATAACGAATCATGTACGAAAAAATATATTAATTTATCCCTTGTTGAAATTTCTCTCTGTTGCGTGTCACTTTGCGTTGAATTTTCGTCGATGTTAAGCCTAACGAAGACTATTGTATTGTTAAAAATTATTTTTTTATTTTGTACAAACAAAATACATTTATTGAAAAATATAAAAACATTAAAAAATTATACTTCAGATGTTAATTTAGTATCAAAAACATAAAATATTTGAGTAGCCCGAGAAATAGCTGAAGATTGCAGCGCCACAGCACTAGTGAAAATTTAAATTTGCCGACTGGAATGCTTTCGGATAATGGACGTTTCGGATAACCAGCTTTCGGATAAATGACGCTCTACTGTATTAAAAATTAATTATATAATTCTAATAAACAAAATTATTATTATTTACTAAGTTATTTAAATACATTTAAAATTAGTATTCAAAATTTATAACAAATATGTATTTACCTGCAAATGTTGAAGCATTTTGTTGAAAAGACTGTAGCATTCCACGTGGAAAATCATATTTATTTGCAACAGTGGCAATAGGTATTTCATTAATTAAATCATTTAATGCTAATGCAACATAAAAACGCTGATGAATAGCTAATTTCTGAGCTTGATAAGATGATTTATTAAAATATTGTCCCGTCACTGCTATTGCAATAAATCGTTCTTCAACTCCAACTAGTTCACCAACTTTTTTCATGTCTTCAGATAAATGTTCCCACAAATTCAGATAATGTAACCAATCTTTAATATGGACTTGATCACTGAGAAATGGTGGTGTCACCTAAGATAATGAAATTATTTTAAATTACTGTACTATAAGATGTAAAATAACTTATAAAATCATTTTAATACAATAGATATTTATGAACTTTACTTGGTATAATAAATGGAGTTCATTTTCTAACACAAAACATTTTCTAGCTTGTTGCAACTCTTTTAAAACACGTAGACTTTCATCTGGTGACATGGAAGATGCTAACACTGCTTGTCCTAATTTTGTAGGTTTGTATACCTTTTTTGTTTCATCTGTAAAAATATGAAATATAATAAATAAATAAAAAACCAAGAACAATAAATAAATTTATTAATAATTATTAACTTTTTCACACAAAAATTAATTATAATCAAACTTATTGGTTTTAAAAAATCCAATTTATTATAAATAACAGAAATTCTCCCATCAAGCATGATGGAATACTTTTTATGAGAAAGTAGAGATTGAAGAATTGAGAAAAGCTTCAAGTCAAACTTAATGCGATGCTGTTTCTGCAGCCCTTGACAAAGCTATTCTTACTTGATGTTGTTCAAGTCGGACTTCATGACCTTCATGGTCTTGGTTGTTCTTATTCTTTTAAATCTAGAATTTTACTCTTATGCTTTCCCCCTAGGCATTTTTTTTTCAGACAAAATAAAAGTCTTTTTAATTCTACATTGATAAAACAAAGATAAATTGTACGTACTATAGCCTACATTAATTAGATGAGCAATAAAACTTTCTAAATAACAGGCTCGTTAGATTGTTACTTCTGATTAGCTATATAGAATGTCACATAGTCACTATGGAAAGCATTTTTAAAAAAATTTCTTATAGAAGTGACATGATGTGGCTATTATTTTTAAAGTTTAAATTTAATGAAGCAAGTTTAAAATATGCCATTTACCAAAATATTTAAAAATGCAACTTAACGGAAATTTCTTTGTCAAGCATGAACATCACATGGTCACTGATGTCACTGCAACAATAGTGCAATCACCCATCCAAAATCGATAAAGCATTTATTTTATAGCTACTATTTCTGCAAAATAAGTATACTATACTTTCAATCAGAACATAAGATGATTATAACAAAAATTTAATCTGGATTGAATAAAAATTACAGGAGTTATAAGGCATTAACACACAGACAATGACTTTTATATTGATAATAATACAGTAATACCCTGAACTTACGCAATAGGTGGGACCGAGTGATAACCGCGTAAGTCGAATTCGCATAAGTCAGGGTATAATTTCGCAATTTGTGTAAAATCCAAGTCGGATGTATGTAAGCTAATAAATGTTCTCGTTAATCTTATCTCGTCTTTTGATTCGTTCACGGTTACAAGAAATCACCACATAGTCTCTCAAGTCTCCATAGATATAACAAATACAGAAATAAATAACACAAAATAAATTGTAGCTATGCGTCGATTCCGCACGACATGTCCAAACATGTAAGTTGAACAATAGTGTGGGGGGAGTGAGTAATTGAGAGTTGCGTGGCACTCAAACAAAAGACGAATTGACGAGATTTGAAAATCGCATAACTCTGGGTTTGCGTAAGTTGAGGTATTACTGTATAAAAATGCCTTTTCCTTGATTAGATTTTACAATAGTTAATATTTTTAAAAACATATTAATAACACACCAGAAAATTATTTGATTTTCTAAATCTGTTCATATATGCTGCTAGTTGATAGAGATATAACAATAGATAGAGGAAAAGGTGGTATTATGGAACCACCCCATTTCGAACTAATAATAAAGGCTAACTGTAGCAGATTGTGGCTGAACTGAACTAGGCAGACATCCATAGCAAGGGGAAAACCCGTTTTACTTCAGTTAAACGGTTGTCCATATTTAATCAGCAAATTTGTTTTTTTCAAAATTCGCAAGTTTTGAATGCTAAGTGAATTTAATTATTTTTAAAATATAAATCGTGTAGTTATAGGTTCACTGGTGCATGTATTCCGTTCCAGAGACTTAGGGGTACATGTTAATCTGTGTGATGTTCACGTTTTTTAAATTTTGGTCTTGACAGACATAAGTTAATTCAAGATGGCAATGTGTAAAATATGGATCCCATTGATGCTTTTACAGTAATATGGAACTCAACTCCTCCGAACTCTCTCTTTGCAAGCAGACATTCGTCCGGAGCAATTTGTGAAAAAGACACTAGGTAGAAAGTCAATTCTTCCTGAGAATATCGAAAAAGAGCTGCTGGAATATATATTGTTGATGAAGGTCATATTTTTCTATTATAAAAGCATTTTTGCAATAAAATACATTGGAGTATAAAATTTTGTAATTATTTAACATTTTTTTTGTACTTTCCTATTTGTTTTTGGCTACATTAAAGCATTTTTTGAAAATATACAGTAAGGTTCCATATTACAACCCGATTTTCTCTAAGCCTACTTTCTGACTTTTTATACAAAAGTCTTCAAAAACCATACTTATAGTTAAACTAGCGAAAAATCCAACTAGAAACATTTAGTTTAATAGTTACCAGTACTTTTCGCACAAAAAAAAATGTGGGTGTAGTTATGATACCTTGTTTACAATTCACTAAAATGTAATTGGGGTTCCATAATACCACCTTCTCCTCTAATATTTACATAAAAAATAATATAAAATAATGTATAAAATGAATTTAACATTATATTTTTATTTTATTTTTTTGAATAAAAAGAATTAAAAATTTACCTTCTTCAGAATTTTGTAAATGAATGAATTCATTTTCAACTAGATATTTTAAAGAGTGATCAATAACATTTTGCATTTTATTTTCAGTTTGAGAAACAGCTGCTAATGTACAAGAACTGTACAATTCAACTTCTTCAGGTGTTGATGCTATACCACTAGCAATTATCTAGAAGAAATTAATGATACTAATTTTAAAAAGTATAACGAATCAATAAGTTAATAATATATGAGATTTTCAGAAAAGAGTTTCTAATGTTTACTCTTCTCAATTATTATGTCATTAAGATTTTTTGTTATATATAAATTTATGTGCATAAAAATATAAAAACATAACTATTACCATTGTCATCTATTTAATTAAGCAAAATTTAAATGTATATGTTTTAAAAAAATAATAATTTTTGTAATTATTATAATAATAATAATAATAATAATAATTTTGAATTTACAAAGTTGAGTTGAAACATTTCAACATAATAATAATAATTTTGTACTTATTATTATGTTGAAATGTTTGTAAATTCCTTGTAAATTCAAATGATTGATAGAATTTCCTAAAATATTTTGAGAAACTTAGCTCATTCAAGAANATATTAAAGTATTATAAATTTAAAATTTACCTCTAAAATTGCTCGTTTCACACTATTACTTAGAATGAAATCACCAAATCCTACAAGACAAGATTGTATAGGTGGAATACTTGATTTAATTAACATGTTTGCTTGAAAACTCTCAGTCTCCTTACAAATTAACAAACTTTCACCTATGATTTACAATAAAAAAAATAATAAAGAAAATTGGTTATCTGTTTAAATCAATCAATTACTTTCTTATATATAAATACTAATTTTAGCAATATGATAATTACCTTCTGTATCTTTGCCTTTTCTTCCTGCTCTTCCAGCCATTTGTTTGTAGGTGAGAACATCAATAACTGAACCACAAAACATGGGTGATCTAATAATAACACGTCTAGCTGGAAGATTGACACCTGAAGATAAAGTGGAAGTAGCAACAAGTACTCTAATAAAACCTTGTTTAAAAGCTCCTTCAATTATATCCCTTTCATCAAATGTAAGTCCTAGAAATTAAATATAATATAAAAACTGATTCACTTCATATCCAATCCTACAGAAATGAGTAAAATAAATATAATTTTATGTACAAATTAAGTGGAAGAGTTAGAATAAAATCTTTAAAAAGAATTCTTACATTTCCTTTATGAATTTTAATAAGAGCATTAATGTATAATGTTTTACTGTAATGTATTAACATTTTCTATTTCCATTCCTTTAATCAATATTTATGAAATGATCAGAGAAAATGAAAAGTTTATTCATGAATGCATTAGTAAAAAATAAATTTATTTTACTTATGAGTTACATCTAATGAATAAAGAGAATAATATGGAAAATACAGTTTAATTCAAAAAATTTCTTAATCTGGTGCAATTAATAACTGCTATATTATTAATAAACTTTAAAATAAAATATTAAAATATCTTGATAAAAAATTTTTTTCCAAATAATTACATTTAATAATGTATTATTCAAAGTTCCCCTTTTTTTATTACAAAATATTTTATTATTCTAATTAATATATCATTAATTTGAATAAAAATAATATTTTACTTTATAAGAAAAAAGCAATAAAAATAGTTTAAAATTTTAATATCTTATAATAATAAAATTCATATTTTCCTTACCTGCATGATGAAATGCAACTCCAAATTTAATTGTGTTTAACAATGTATTATCCAAACCTGCTGGACATCTTTGTAATTGTTCTAAAACATCAGATAAATCATTACTGTTTAACTGCTCTCTTAAACGAATGCCCATCAATGTTGATTCTATTAAAAAATAAGAAACTTTAATAAAATATATTCATTAATTTTTAAATTAAAGTGAAACATTATAAATAAATTTTAATAGTATAAATTATAAAATTTAAAATTAATATATAGGTGCATCCAATACAATTCACAGAAAATATTCTATATTACTATTCTTTCTTATAACCGCATATAAAAATATATTAATAATTACACATGTCTCATGCCATTTTATTTATTTATTTTTAATAAATTCTTAATAAGTGATTAGCTAATTTTACCAGAAAAAAATATTTACAGATTAGTAAAATCTTCAATATATAAAATATATATACCTTCAGAGTCATTTTCAATCCTAGTTTGAAAGTTTCCTAATCTGAAGATTTCCTTTGCTATATTTTCTGCAAGCTTCTCACACCAAATTTTAGAGGGGCAAAATATTAAAACAGAATGACCATTCACAACAGTTTCTATTGACAGATATATTGTATGATCAGCATCATTTTGAAAAGAAATTGGCAGAGAATTTAAACAACGAATCTCTTTGAGAGTTGAACAATCGTATATTGTTGAACCTATTTTAATTAATTCATGCAGAGGAACAGGTCTGAAGTCAGTAGTATAAAGATCTGCTTCCAACCAGTGTGCTAAAATTTCTAAATTAGGAAGTGTAGCACTCATCCCAATAATTTGTATTTTATTATTAAGATGATGCCTTTAATAAAAGATTCATTAATCAAATTAAGTAAAAATCTAATCTTTTTATAATTATGTTTATTAATATTGTATGATCTTACTTTTTACTTATATATAAAATTTTAGTTAACAGTAATTCCAATAAATAACCTCTGTGCGAATCACCCAGCATATGCAGTTCATCTACAACTAAAATACCTGCAAATAAAAAATTATTTTATTATTATAACACTTTACAAAAAATACTTATAATCTACATATACAAGAACAGGTCAACTGCTATCTAAACTTCAGTAATGGCAATTGAACTGTGTGTTACATAATCCCAATTTATGTTTTATTCTCTAAGTACTACCTCTCAACACACTGACACTTCTCCCATCATTTTGACAATAATGATATGCCTGCATAATAGAATAGTATTTGATGTCTGAGCCACTGCATGACAAACACTCTAACTTCAGAGAGTTCTTCATGCAATGGTTCTTGTCTCCTAAGGCTTCCTTTAAAAGACCAAATAGTGATAATTGAATGATGACAGATCTGAACTGTATGCTGGGTGATCCAGAATTTCCTAATCAAAAATCATATTCACCATGGGCAGGACCATATTCTGACATCAGTCAAAATACTTTGATTCTGTGGACAGGGACCACTGTTGCCAAAACACAGGGAGAAGTTTGAATGTGTGTAAGGAAAAAAAAGCATATATTGGAACTATGTAACAAACAGTTCCATTGTCATTACTGAAATTCCAAATAAAAGTTGAACTGCCCTTATATGTACAGGATGGGCCAAAAGTCCCCAAACTCTGATTTCAAAAAATTGTGGTGAAATTTTTAATGCAAATAAAAAAGTTTTACATATCTTAGCTGTATTTCCCAATTCCTTTGAAAACACTGTCACAGAAGATGATGAAATGTCCTTGCAGGAGCAAGCACAAATGCATGCAGAAACACATGTTTGTAGCCACATATTTTAAAATGACCAGAGATGTGATTTATGATAATGGCAATGTTCCTTTTCAAGGACTGCAACTTTTGGATTATTGCTATATGTTCATTACTTTATATAACCTCAAAGGAAGAAATCAGATGATGACAAATTGGGAGATATTGCAGGAAATCTATCTATGCATTGTGCTTATGATTTCATTTTAAAATACACCTCCAAAAAGAAAATAAAGACTTGTCAAAAAGATATGCTTATGCATGTGGGTAGCCTACACTGTTGCATTATAATGTCAGAGAGACAATAAGAAACTGTCACAGGTTGATGCATCAGTATATCTGTGCAAGGGAAGATTCTGGCATGGTTTAAAATTTGCACTTTGCATAGCTAATTTAAATGCTTAAGGGCATTGTCATTGTCCTTACATGTTCCCAAAGATGTGAGAAAGACATTGATTTTACAAATTCATAGCACAAGTTAATATTACCAATGTGAAAAATTTTTTAATATTTGAAGACAAGTTTGCCCAAATAGGGATCACCATTTTTTTCTTTTGCGTTCTAGACAGTACATTTCTGGTGACCAACCTTCCTTTCTAGGCTACTAGCCACCAGAAAGTTTTAAAAAAGTCCTTTTAAAAAACAAAAAGATTTCCAATTAAAAACACAAAGATTTTCTAAAATCAGAACTGATGTTCAAACTTGATTCCAAATATTGAAAAATAGAAAGAACCATCAGACAAAAAAATTACCAATGTGAAAAATATTAAAATCAGGATTCAGAGACTTTTGGCTTGTCTTGTTTATTTATATACACTAGTACATATGATTTACATAATATAACAAAATATAAAGACAAAATTAAACTGATTTGCTATAATATAAATAATTCATGTTAAAGAAATTTCTAATGAAAAAAATTACTTAAGTAAATCTTTATAAAATTTTAGCAAAACCAATAGCACATCATAAATTTTACATTTTATATATCTCAACATTTATTGAAAGTAAACATAAATATCAACATAGAAACATAAGAATTTTGTGCTTTTAATGTTTTTCTAGATTATATTTGATTTTTGATAAGATTTAAATTATATCATTTTCTTATATCTTGTAAAAATAGAAAATCATTAGTTGTTAACACTAGAGCTGAAAGTTTTTTCAAGCAAATATTTAACTTTACACAAAAAAACCTAAAATTAATGAGTGAGAGACAAAGTTTGATGAGAAGAAAAGAACTTAATAATGTTAGTAAGATTAAATAGATTTTAAATATTTACGATCATTATAACATAGTGCATATTTTGCTAATATTTGATTTAAATTCTATAATAATTCTACAATAATAATTTTATTTATAAACATAAAATCTAATTTCTACAACAAAATTAAATTTTCAAGAGATGATAAACAAAAACAAATAAACAATGAAATAGATAGCAAATAAATATAAATAAGAAAGCAAATATGTGGGTAGCTGGAAGCAAGGTGGATGTCTTGCCTCTTCCTCAGCAACAGTTTGGCGAAAACTGCCCACTTGTCAGTGGATGGCTTGTTTATGTTTTACAATCCTGAGGAGTCGGGATTCTTTTTGTGAAGTCGAGTGGAGGAGGAGAGAGGGGTCATCGGTAAGGCATAGGCAATAAATGAGTAAAGGACACCATTAACAAGAAAATCAAAAATTTATTGAATAACAAAAAGGACATTTACAATTACGACAATCAACATAACTTCGAGCTCTCCTAAAGAGCCCTCTCTTTCGAGTACAAGTTTAAGGGGCAAGAGAGAGTTTTACATGCTTGATATCATACCTCTTGATTATTCCCATGGAGGTTCGTATCAGTCCTTGATGTCGATGGTGCACAATTTTATAAAAATCGCATCTCAGATTCTTAGACTGCACTTAATAAAGGTAGTTCAACAATATTGCTCCTCAGTATAGTCCAACTTGTGAGACACTCCTCGGAAGGGGAGGAGGAATCAGTCTTATATCGATTCGGCCTGGAAAATTTAGTCAGGTGATGGACTGTTGTTAAAAGTAAAAATTACTTTAGCAGGTGTGGAGGTTAAAAGGTTTTCCCGGGACCATAATAAAGTAAAGAAATCGAATATAATTATAAACTTATATCTTGTAATATTAGCTGAATGATGTTTAGATGAGTGACTGTTTACATTTTTTTGAAGGAAGGTTATATTTGATCCTTTTTTCTGCCAATGTTGTTTTAATGGTTGGGTGATGTATTTATTTAAAATATGTTGAAAATTTATGAGAAAAGGGGAAATTAGTTTATTCACGGTTCGGATCTCACAAATATATAAATCTGCTTTCTCATTTAAATTTATTTGTTATTCATTCTCATTGTTTACTTGTTTGCATTGTCTTCCTATACATACATGTACTACCTATGTGCAAATATTGTATTATGCTCATAGGTATTACCTATATTGTGCACAAATGCCCAATATAGATATTTTCATTTAAAATTGTTAATCAAAATAATAAATAATATAAAAAAAGAATTATTTGTCATCATCAATCAATCTAATTAATTCAAAAATATATATTATATGTATATTGAAATATTGATTGAAAAAACATAAATAATTATATTTTTATTCAATATATTTTGTTGTCATTTATTTGAAATTTATAATTAATTATTCTGTATAATTAAAACTTAAGTGTTAGAAAATAAAATTATTTGTTTTTAATTACAAACATTTAATTCAAAAACTTCATAACAATTTATAACATAATAACAATATTGATATCACTATAAATTTTTTACATTAAAAAATTTACAAGGATGAATTCATATTTAGAAAAAATATATTTCTTGCTAGACTATACATACAAATGAGTCCAAATCCTTCTGTTGTTTCACACGCTTGTGGAGCTAGAAGACTTTTTTAACTTTTTTACATTTGATGGTGGACAAGTAGCCTAAAATAAAAGGTCAGTTCCACTGTGGATTTGTTAATGCCTCCACAAGTGTGTGAAAGGACAGAAGGACTTGGACTCATTTGTATGAATAGTCTAGCAAGAAATATTTTTTTTCTAAATATAAATTTGTTATTTTCAGTGACTGACAAACACAACTAAGCAATTAGAGGACACTGCATTTTTTAAATATAGTAACTATATTTATTGGCTAAATATATTCAACTAAATGTTTACAAGTATAAATATATTTAAATAACATGGATACTATAATTATCATTTAACTTATGAATGTCAGCCACACTAATCATAATGAGTGGGGATTCCCTATAAAGCATGAGAGTGCAATAACATATCCACTGTGCAGACAGTGGAAGGTAGTGAAAGGATACTCATTTTGCTGGTCAAACAGCAATGGCTAAGAGACAGAAAGGTCTAGAGGTAGCAGAGACGACAACCTATCTGATTTGACTAGATAACAAGACTCTGGAGACAAAGACCAATGGATGGTAACATACTAAACTTCATAAGACGGAACTATCTCTGACTGTCTGAGATTTTTCTAGGTAGATCCATAGGTTATCCAATAAACTCCATTTCTCAGCTCTTTACATCAGAAGAATGTGATCAGCTGAACAAATCCCATGAGATTTCCACTTTTACAAGATTATCTCTTCCTGCTTGTCATCCTTGATGAAGGATGCAGAGCTGTTTCTTTCATGTAATGGATTTTCTTTATTTGTCTCCCTTATGGTCATTTATTTGCAAGATTTTTAACTTTGTTTATTTGTTATCAAGTATGAGTCGTCCATTGTTTTATTTTTATTACTAAATGCATTTCATTGCTTTCTCTCCAAACTTCTTATTCATTATTTCCTATAATTTTGTTGACAGCTGTAGATTTCTCCAGACTGTCTTAACAAAATGGTTAAAGTATACTTTTTATTTAAGATGTTAATTTCAGAAAAATATTTTTTGATATTTGAATAAGTTTTTCAATAGACCAATTTCTCTTATATTTACTGACATAATTCATTATATATTTACTGATATTATAAGGAAACTTTCTGAACATTTTCTCTCAATCTAATATTCCATAAAACTGAAAAATGTTTCAGTTTTTTTATTTATCAAATCTTACACTTACAGATAGATTTCAGATATTTAAAATGTCTACTTAAATTTTACAAATACATTTGAAATATAAATCAACAACAAGTTGCTCAACTTTCCCGACAACATTTAAAATTTTGGTGGTGCCATCTGTAATCATATTTTATTTAAAAAACTTGTTATATTTTTAACTATTATAAAAAGGCAAAAATCTTAATTTTCAGGGTAGGGATGAATTTTATAAAAAATTGTAAATGCTAATAGTGAATAAAATCGTCATTAAGTATGACCCTACTTAAAATACATACCCCTTTATCTCCTTAACCACCCTTGACTTTAAGCCACCAAAATGTAATAGCATCGATCCCCCTAATAAACAAATCTCCGTGCAAAATTTCAAAAATTTTTGATAAAAAGCAGGGGAATTATTAAGCTTCAAACAGGGTGAACAAAATAGTGCCCCCACACACTAACATCCATATATACAGAAAAAAAAAACCCCAAATTTTTTTCATTCCTTGACATTTCAAGTCCTCTTAGTCCAAAATGTAAAAATCTTTGTGGGATAATTTTTTGACTGATTGCCACACTTTCCCCTGTTATATATAACAGCTGGAAAGTATATATTCAGGAAAGTAATATATATAATTTTGTAATAAAAAAAATCTGCTTGAAAACTGAATTTTAGCTAAAATACATGGATGGATCAAATATAAACAGTAATTTTGCTATTCTGCTTACCATGCAGTTCCTAGCTAGATGATGTAGAGTGCAGTTGATGTCTGGTTTGTGAGGAGCGGGGAACTGGCTTGGTTAACAAGTGCATTTGGTTCTGTTGTCAGTACAGCCATGACCGAGTAAAAGGTACATTCATCTGTTGCACAATGCATCATCATAAAGTTTTTAACTAATGGAGGCATTAAACCCTCAGAAATTTTTAGTTGATTGAAGGCACAGTTTGGGGACAGTACACTGTCTCAGAATCATGAGTATACGTGAGCCAAAGAATTTAAGGGTGGGCAAGAACGTGTCTAAAACGAAGTTCATGATCAATGCCCAAGGACAAGCCTTACAGATGACAACATCCATGTCATTCAAGAGCTTATTGAACTTGATTGCTGGTTAACTGTTGAAGAAATATCAACAGAAGTGGGTACCAGCTATGGAAGTGTTCAATCTGTTATCACTGATCATCTTGACTTCAGAAAAATTAGTGCCCATGCACACCGCGTTCTTGACAAGGAATAAATTGGAAGAAATGGACTGGGAAATCCTCAAACACCCTCCTTATAGTCCAGACTTGTCCCCCTGTGACTATTTTTTGTTCGCACCCTTGAAGGAATCACTTGGAGGAAAACAATTTGCAAGTAATGAAGAAGTTGAGGAGCATGTGCGCAATTGGCTCATAGTTTGCCCTCAACCTTTTTATGAGAGAGGGATATTGAAGCTTCCAAATTCTTGGCAAAAGTGTGTAGAGTTTGCAGGAGGATATGTAGAGAAGAACTAAAGTTTTCACTTGTGTATATTATTAATCAATAAATGTCTAAAAAAATTACCGTTTATATTTGATCCACCCTCGTATATTTCTGTATGATTTCTATCTATGCCATTGCATAAAGATTAATCTAGAATAAGCATCAACAATTTAAAAAGATATTATTTATATTAAAACAATAAAGAAGGATTAAACTGCATGCTTCTTGCCCTTCTGTTTATCATTATTAATTATTTCAATACTATTATCAATTTAAGGTTGCAATATCTTTTAGGGCGTATCATATGTGGAGACCGATTTTCAGATTTTAGTTTTTAACATCAAAAAACAATACTTAACCCTTAACTGGTTTCTTGGGGGCCACGCGGCCCCCACGCGTCATATTTTTATGATTTTCTAAAAATCTAAATATCATGCGCAGCTGCCATTTTATGTAATCTCATTACGTCGCGACTCTTAGCGAGTGCCAAATGTTTGGCCCTGTAGCACTTACAAGGATAGAGCTACGTACCTTCTGGGGGCCGCGCAGCCTCCACGATACCAGTTACGTTGGTTTTTTGTGGAAATGTGTTTTTATGTTTTTTTTTCATTTTTACAATTATTTTGCAAAGATATCTCAATCTTGCATCAAAAATTCAAAATGACTACAAAAGAATCATTTGAACTGCTAATAGATGATATTATACAAATTGCTAGATCAAGCCGAAATCTTCTGAAAAGAGTATGTTGTTATTTTGTGCTGGAAAAAAAGATGGTAAATATGCTACTAAGTGCAACAGTTGTTTGAAATTTATTTGCAAAGTGCATAGTACTACAAAAATACTATGTGATAACTCTCAAGACTGAACTATGTAATTGAGTTAAAATGTTCCTGAGTCTTAAAAATAGAAGTGATTATATTACCTGTGGTTTTTTTAACAAATGATAGTTAGAGGCTATAAGAGATACTTTTTTATAAGATTAGTTTCTTAAGAATAAGAAAAAAAAATATCTTTGGTAAAAACTTACAATAGGGTAGATTTTTGCATTGTTCAAAAAAGCATACACCAAAAGTTGTAACAATTTTGTGATCTCTTGTAATAATTAAGTAAAGAAAATTATATAAATAAATAAAAGTTGATTATACTAAAGAAGGGTTCCATTTAGCATTTATGCACTTTTGAACTGTCACATTTGTAAACTTGCTCTCTAAAGGCAAATTTTGCTTGGGGGCCGCGCAGCCCCCATATACTAGTTACGTTTGAAAAATTTACGATATCAGTTAAGGGTTAAGTAATTTTACAACAAAATTCTTATTCAAATTTTCAGCCTACTAATGTATATGCATTTTGGTATCATGCTGTCATCAGTTTACATTCTTTTAGGCTGTTCTATTATAAATTAATATATTTAAATATGTCCAACACGATTATTTTAAATATGTCCAGAATTTTAAATACATTAATTTATAATAGAACAGCCTACAAATGTAAACTGATAAGGGCATGATACTGAACTGCATATTTATTAGTAGGGTGAAAATTTGAATAAGAATTTTATTGTAAAATTAGTTAAATATTATATTTTGATGTTAAAAACTAAAATCTGAAAATCCGTCTCCATGTGTGATAAGCCCTAAAAGACATTATAGCCTTAAATTGATAATAGTAATGAAATAATTAATAATAAAAAGAATGAAAAAATCAAAACTGATTTATAAAATTGCTATACATTAATTAATTAAAATTAATAAATTTTCAACTATTTTTAAAAATTACCTATTTGCTGAAGTCTATTTTCTTCCAAAAGTCTATTGATAAGTCCATTTGCTTTTTCAATTGTACAAATAGCAATATCTACAGTATCAAAACCTCCAGCAGGGGAATGACATCCCATATATCCATCAACTCTAATTCCAACTTCAAAAAATAACTTCTATATTAAATATTAATGCCATAAACATTTCTATCAAGAGGATTATAATGGAAAAATGCATAAATCTTTTATATTCAATTTATTAGATTTACCTGAAAATAGAACATTTTTTCTCTAGCAACAGCAACAAAAGGTAAAACCATAATAGCTTTCCTTTTAAATTCTAATACTTTCTTTAGCATCAAGATTTCTGCAACAATAGTTTTCCCAGCACTTGTTGGAGCAGAATAAACTAAATTTCCTCCATTCAATACTTCTCCAGTTAATAAACATTCAGCTTGCCATTTAAACATTTCTCTTACACCAAATTCTTCATACTTTTGTACAACAGTCTGTGGTAAACTCCAAGAAGATAAACATTGGATATTTTGAATTTCACCGTGTTCTGAAAATTAAATGTCAGAATGTTTGACTATAAAATTTTATTTAAAACTGCAATATTTCAGAAATTCATTTGCAATTTGTAAATTTTAAACTCTTATAATTAAAAATAATCACAATACATGTAAATTCATGTAGCATAATATCTATTTTATCTAACAAGTTTGTTCAAACATCACTCACAATACCTTGAAAACAGTTTCAATTAAAAAAAATATGGAATTATATTACAAAGTAAAAAAATGAAATTTGCATGTAATATATTATTGCATTATTAAATAAAATATAATAAGCAAATATTAAGCAAAATTAAATAAAAAAATTAATTTAATTGAAAAAATTTGTCAAAAAACAAGGTTATCATCATGATCAGTTTATTTGTTCAAAACATTTTGAAAAATGTATCAGTTGTGTGAATTACTAAACTTTGTTTTTTAATTAAATAAATATGTTTAATTTCAATTGCTTTCATTTACTTTTATACATATTCCACTGTATTGTATTTATAAAGCAGAAAGTATAAGACACCAGAACCAAGGAATTACTCTTTAAATAGTATTTAACAAATGAAGCAATTTAGTTTACATTTATAACTAAAAAATCTTTCCAATAGCTATCATTTTGCAATATGAATTAATGTTCTATTGTTTTAAGAAAAGTGATACAAAATTAAATAAACTTCTTATATAAGTACATGCATGCACTTTTTCTTTTTGATATAGAACATGATATAAACATAACACACAAAATTTATTTTTAAAATGATATTCATATATTATGTAAAACTGTATTTTTAAAAATTAATTTTATAAAATAAAAATATCTTACTTTGAATTCTTATTCCATTACATTCAGATTTTTGTCTACTTGAATCAAATTCTTTAAATTTATTCAAAGCTTGTGAAATGCTGTTTGAAGATTCATTAACTGATGATTTCAAAATAACTTCATTTATTTTGTTTTTTCCATTATCATCTTCAATAATATTTATAGAACTATGACTGCAATCATACTGAAATACATAATTAAAAATTTTTTAAAGTGATAAAATATATAAAATAATATTTATCTAAAAATTTTTCATTATTCAACAAAAAATTAAGCATAAAAAATTGTAAAGCTTTCAAAAAATGTATGGTCCATTACAGGTTTTTGTTCTTAATCTGTTTTTGATGTGCAAAAAAAAAAATTACAAGAAATAATTTAAACTTCAATATTATGAGTACAAAAGTGAGTGTTTTCACTACATAAAATGAAGAATACTAAACATTTTATATATCTAAATAAAACTAAATTTAAACTGACATTTTCATTTCATTTTCTGAAAAAAAAAAAATTTGCTTCATTCCTATCTAAAAACGAAACAAAATATATAAAAATTTATGAAACATTATTCAAATTATTAACTAATTATTAACAATTAAATTATAGCTTAATTACTGGGTTGTTCGGAAAGTAATTTCGTTTTTCTGTGGAAAAAATACACAATATTTTTATAATAAATAAATATTTTGTTGAATTATTTATCGACCATTTTGATCAAATATTTGTTGTCATCATTTCTGGTAGTAGCATGATTTCACATTCATAAAAGTTTTGATTGTTGCTTACAAAAAACTGATCCAAGTGATTTTTGACATTGTCATTTCAAGTAAATGTCTTACAGTTAAAAAAAATTTGTATAGACCGGAACAAGTAATAATCTGAGTGTGCTCGATCTGGCGAATATGGTTGGTGTGATAGCACGTCCCATCTAAGTTATAACAGTTTCTGACGAGTTACCAAACTTGTGTGAAATTTGACATTATCGTGGTAAAACACTACACCTGTTTTGTTGATCAATTCTGGCTGCCTTTTCTATTTAATGATATTACTCAATTTGTTTACTCAATGGCAGTACACTTTCGAATCAATTGTTACATTGTCTGGTAAAAGCACCAAAAAAAAATTTCCTTAAAATCCCACCAAAGATAGCATCTCTCCTTAAGAATATGTGGAACTCATATATCAAGCTTTGAAACAAAACCAATTTGTTTCAAGTAATCATAAACAGTTCAATTTGACAAATTTAATCTCTTAGTGATTTCACGTGTTGTTATTCGGCAGTTTGCTTCAATCGGTACCTTTTATTTTGTTTTCATTGGCTTCAATTGGCCATCCATAATGTGGTGCATCTTCAATACTGAAATTGCGAGAACGAAATTTTGTAAACCAGTTTTAGCACTGTTATTCTGTCAACACATCTCCACTATACATGTCACATGATTTTTTTCTTGCTTGAACGGCATTTTTATTTTTTTGGTAATAAAAAAGCAAAATATGTCGAAAATTCTGCTTTCGATCTTACATATTTGATGAGACACAAAAAATAAACAATTGCACAAAATCAAACAAAATTTTTTATAAATATGCCTTAAAATGCTAGCTGTCAAAATATATAATAATAATACGGTTTAGAATAAAAATGGCAGGAAAAATATGACTAATCCATCTAGTGGTAAAAAAAACGAAATTACTTTCCGAACAACCTAATATATAAGATTGATATAAATATGTTGTTTTGCTTTATTACTAATTAATAAGACAGTTTAATTAAATACCGTATATATTGAACTCAAGTAATGTATTACACTAAAAATTAAGAAATCTTTTTATACTTAATTATATTATTAAACTAGCTGCAAGGACCCACTTCGCTGGGTTTTTATTTGTTCGTACATTTGTATGTAATATAGTTTTTTATATATATAAAAGACTGTTTTTCTACGTAATCTAGAATCTAGCTGCAAGGACCCGCTTCGCTGGGTTTTTAAAAAGTAACGATAGTGAAGATTCAGATAATTACATTATAGCCAATCTTGCCTGTTTTCACAGAATGCAAGAATTAGGTCCCCCGTTTCCAGACTAATTAGAGACCTGGTCCCGATTCTATTTCTGAACATCTCCTGTCCACGTCCGGTCAAACGAACTATTTTCAACGTTTCTGGAACGTTTATGATCATTCTATAATCGAACCAATATTCGAATTTTATGTTCGAATTTAATTCGAACAAATTCAAACAAAACATTCGAAATATAAGGACCTTGAATAAGTTCTCGCTGTTTTCCAACAGATGGCGTTACCAGAACCACGTGTGTTTATTTTTAGATGGTGACGCATCTGTAAGGAAGTACAATAAGTGACCTTGAAATTCAGTATACGTCATTTCACCGAAGTGTAAACAACTTATTTTTTCATTGTGTTAAACATGTCTAGTTTTGTGCCAAAAAAGAGTATTTGCGGGGAATTTTATTGCACTATTTTATTCAAAAAAAATCTGCAGCAGAAGCACACAGAATTCTTGTTGAGACTTATGGCGACCATGCTCTGTCGGAAACAACATGCAGAGATTGGTTTAGACGCTTCAAAAATAATGATTTTGATGTTGAAGATAAAGAACGATCTGGTGCACCAAAAAAGTTTGAAGACAAGGAATTAGAGGCATTACTTCATGAAGACTCATGTCAAACGCTAGCTGAACTTGCAGAATCATTAGTTGATCACACAACAGTTTCGAAACGTTTAAAAGGATTAGGAATGATTCAAAAGCAAGGACATTGGGTGCCGTACGAGTTGAAGCCGAGAGATGTCGAACGGCGTCTTTTCACATGTGAACAGCTGCTTCAACGGCAGAAAAGGAAAGGTTTTCTGCATCGTATCGTGACGGGTGACGAAAAATGGATACACTACGATAACCCTAAGCGTAGAAAATCGTGGGGTAAGCCCGGTCATGCATCAACATCGTCAGCAAGGCCGAATATCCATGGTTCGAAGCTTCTGCTCTGCATTTGGTGGGATCAGCTAGGTGTAGTTTATTACGAGCTGCTCAAACCAAACGAAACTATCACGGGAGATCGCTATCGACTACAATTGATGCGTTTGAGCCAAGCATTGAAGGAAAAACGGCCGCTATATGAGCAGAGACACGACAAAGTGATTTTGCAACATGACAATGCTCGGCCACATGTTGCACAACCGGTGAAAACGTACTTGGAAACGCTTAAATGGGAAGTCCTACCCCACCCGCCATATTCACCAGACATCGCCCCTTCCGATTATCACTTGTTCCGATCGATGTCACATGGCCTGGCTGAGCAGCACTTTCGTTCTTATGAAGATGCCAAAAAATGGGTTGATTCTTGGATAGCCTCAAAAAACGTGTCGTTTTTCCGACATGGAATTCAAATGCTGCCAGAACGATGGGAGAAAGTAGTGGCTAGTGATGGACAATACTTTCAGTGACGTGTTTATTACGACTTTTTTTAAATAAAGTGTTAATTTTCACAAAAAAACAGCGAGAACTTATTCAAGGTCCTTATAGAAAGCCACTTTCAACCACTTTCAAGCCCATATCTCCCGCACCCTTATAGCTATCGAGACGCAACCAACCCTACGCACGAATAGAGACTTGGGGCTACTACCACATACAAACACCATTCACGTGCGATGTGTAGTTTTTGCGAAAAAGTGAAATATAGGGACATACATGTCCATTTTTATATATATATATAGATAATATTTTAATTACAATAAAGTACTATAAGCTTGTAATTATTTGTCATTTATGCTTTGATTAAATATGGAAGATAAATAATATGGAATGGCTTGTTGAAAATACAAATCATGTTATAATTAAATAAAAAGTTAATTTATATATCTATCAGCAATTATCCTGTTTCAAGTTAATCAACATAACAAGCATATACCATTTTAAAAACTTCTTAAGTAAATGTTCTTGTTAAATATTTCAATAAAAAATTCTGTAAGTTTGTCTGTTGTTCTGAAGGACCTAGGTTTGAGTGTAGATTAGATTCTTGGAAATTTTCATGGGTAATTTGAACTGGGTGGCCACAACCAACCCAGCTGCTCTGCTCTGTGTGAGCTTAGTCAAACCCACAATAGTATGAAAAAAAAAATTCTTAGTGCCACAGAGTAGAAAAGTTTAAAAAAGTTTTAATGAACTAAATACTGCTACTTTCAAAAAATGTAAACTGTTATATTTTCTATATTTTCAATCATAAATATGATTGTATTATATTGTATTATAAATATTGTATTTATAATTAAACATTTCTTCTTAAAAATAATTTTAAAGTTTAAATAAATTTCATATAATTCATTAAATTTGAACAAATATTATAAGACATACTCTAAAAAAATTGCACATAGTAATTCTTTTTCTTACCTTTTTATTTTCATTAATTGAAATTTCTTTTTCATTCATTTTCTTAGCATTTCCTTGATCTGACTTTTGTCTTGAAATAAAATATTAAAAAAACATATATTAACATATACCAAACATATTTAGTATTAGAAAACAACAATGCATTTTTTTTGAGTCAAATATTAATTATCATCTTTTTAAATTCAATTAACCAATTATTCAGAAACTATCAATATTAAGATACAGTTATATTATATTATACAATACATGTTATATTTAACAGTAAAATAAATAGATAATAAATGTAATTTTCACTATAACGTTTTAAAAACAAAACATAAGAATTTCTAATTTGTAGACAGATTTGTAGAAAAATCTCTAAAACTTTTAACTAACTAACTAAAAAAAAAAAAATGTTTGCTAGAAAAGTATTGCTCTAAATTGTGGAAAGAAGATCATATCAAAAGCAAAAAAATAATTTTTTTAATATTGAGTGACTGATTCTATTAAATCATCAAAGAATAGAAGCGTTCCTTTAGCCACAAGAATAACAGTATCCCTGTTTTATTCTTGTCATGATGAGTAATACCCTCCGACAATTTCCTTATCAAGAGGCTTATTAAATACATGTGTATAATAATATAAATACATAGTGCAGTCATAAATTTTAGGGTAGAAATTATAAAAAAATCAAAAACACATGGGTGAAAGATAATTAAATACATATGTATAACAATATATCTTAAATGCATAGTGCAGTCCATAAATTTTAGGGTAGGAATTAAAAAAAAAATCAAAAGACATGAGAGAAAGATAATATATATTTTTTATTTAAACTACAATCCACTAGCAAGTGTGCAGGCTTTAGAATTGTCACAATTTTTTGGGATTCACAGAAAATTCCTCTTTTCCAAGTCTTTAATTCTATTATGAGATATTTATTTTTTGTTTATAATAATACTTGTATAATTTTTGTTTTGATTTATGTATATGTTAATTTTCTCTGTAATAATGGATGGATTATGATATTTTTTTGTGTAATGTACATGTAACAAATTATTGTATACCCCGCATCATGGGCTCTGCCTAGTATGTCTGATTAAATAATTAAATAAATAAATAAATAATTCTATTATGACTTTCTGGATGGTAGAAACATCCGCAAATTACTATTTAAAGGATACTAATTTGCGGATGTTTCTACCATCCAGAAAGTATTAAGCTTCAATTTCAACTTGAAAAAGAAAATAAGCCAGGAGAAAACTGGTTAGTAAGGGGTGATAAAAGTTCGAGATTTTTTTTTTGTGTGTCAAAATATGACACATGCAACTTTGTGAACAAATGCGTTATCATGAAACAAAATATCTTGGGACCAGCATGCAGAAAGACATACATGCGAAATGCATTTCAGAGACAATCCAGTACAGTACTGGATCAAATATATGGCTTCCAGAAATCCAGAATTACAGAAAACCAGCTATTTTTGATACTGACTAGTTTTGAATTTGAAAGTCTGTAGTTCATCAAACAATGTTCAAATGAAATAAAGTGGCTGACACAATGGTGCAGCCACTTTGCTTTGTTTCCCATGGTATAAGAATTAAGTGGCAGTTATAAAATAAAATACTTAGGAATCTTGGAAATTTAAAATAAATCCAATTACCAACTTGGAACAACAATGAATTAATTTCCAAGATGCCAACATATTATTCAGGGTCTGGAAATTGCTGTATGAATTGTAAGGTGACAACCAGCTCATATCATAATTTTTGGCTTAACACTTGCACACTTTAAACAGTTAATGTTCTCTTTAGTCAAACCTTAAATTCTGTAATTGTATTGTAATTTTCATCCTATACTTGTAGCAACTAACAAAGATCTAGCAATGTAGATCAAAAACATTTGTCCTTAATAAGTTGAAAGGTTTTATGTTAACTTTTACCTTTTTTAAAATATAACCTTTTAAATTATAAAATATACTCCTTCCATTGTTTAAACTTTTACAAATATTTGTCATTAAACTGATTTTTCAAGATTAAGAAAGGCAGTTTCTTTTTCTTACCTGTTTCTCCAGTTTTTCAGTTTTATTCTTTAAAAACATTCAAACATTTATTCTTTAAAAATGTTTTCAAATTAATTTAAATTCAAAATCAGTATATCAAACTGAACATATGATATATATAACTCATAAAATAGAATTTAAATTTAAACAGTTGACATTCAGAATAACTTACATTTGAATTTTAAAATATAATTGAAAAATAGATTTGAAATGGAAAGTTTGTTTCAAATAATGTAAATAATTCTAAATATCAAAATTTAAATTATTCTAAACATCAACTACTTAATTTTGTTTTTCAATTTTCAATTGTATTCTAAATTCAAATTTAAATTATTCTTAATGTTAACTGTTCCAATTTATATTCTATTTTGGGAATTGTATCTAATGTTCTATTTAGTGTGCTGATATTGGCCAAAATTAGTCCAAAAATGTTTCTATAAGAATAAATAATTTAGTTACTTTAATTTAACTGTTACTTTCATGATATTTGAATGTTGTGCCAAGTTTTAAATAATCTTTTGATAGTGAAATATAATATAAATTAAAAATCTATAATAAATTAATTTTGTGTTTGTCAGACATGATTTAAGTTCAGAAACATTCTTAGGAAATAAATTAATTAAAAAAAATAAACAATAAAATACTTTAACAGAATAAATATACAACATTAGCATCTTGAAAGTGCTTACTAATATTGCATGTTAAATTAATTATCACCAATTTTTCTAATAAACAGCTATATGATAAAATTTTAATCTAATATAATTAATGTTTTAAACAAATAAAATACAACCATTAATTAATCATTTTAAAAATTAAACATATAAATAAAAATTTTTAATAATAATTTTCCTTTAAAAAAAGATTATTATTAGATTTCTATAAGTAAATCAAATTAATAAATAAATGTGTCAATTTTTTAGTAATTATTTATGTAATATGAAATTTAAATTTAAAACAGTAGAGTCCTGAAAACTCGGCCTAATATGGACCGAAGGGTGGCTGAGTTTGTGAAAATGCCAGGTTATTGGGAATGGGGTTAAAAAAGAATAAGTAAGAGTGTGGAGTCCTCAGAAAATACTGTACTGTACTTGTATGTATAGTTTGCTTGAGAATATAACGGAGAATAAACTGCCCAAATACCCTTAAACAAAGGAAAAGTATGTACTTTATGAAGGCATAGAGCCATTACTACATGAAAATGAAAATTAATGAATACACAGTGTACAGTAATTTACCTGATAAGACAGACCTCAGAAAAATACTTTATAAAACATATATCTGTCTATAATGAAAATTAACTAGGGGTTTTTTCACTCTGCCAGGGTTTGGCCGAGTTATCCGGACTGCCGGGTTATCGAGTGCCAAGTTTNACAAGAAATGTATAAAATTACAGTACTGTATTAGACTTACGGTACCTAATTTACATACTGACAGACGATAGTTAGCGTAAAAATCTCCGTAGCGTGGCGCCACGCTAGACGGCGGAAATTATATATTTAATTATAACAAAGTTACAATAAGTTAATATATAATTATATATACAGTACCTAATTTATATATAATTAATATATAATTATATGTACAGTACCTAATTTATATATAATTTATATAATACTGTCCAGACGATAGAAATCTCTCCGTAGCGTGGCGCTACGGACGGCGGGAAAGTAGTTCGGCTTCCCGATGACGTTTGAGGTGTTTATAGGGAACTTTTACTATTTTTTACGGATACCGGTAGCAATTTTTTCGTAGTTTTATAGGAATCGTAACTATAGGGACCGTAATTATAGGGGGGTTGACTGTATAAACTTGACAACACAAATATAGTTCACTTACCATATAATTTATGTATCTGCATATGAATGATGATAAATCAACTCAAAATATATTTTTTCATTCATTATTTATACATTTCATCATGACTCAGTCTTTATAAAATAGACAAACAAGTTAGTAATGATGAAATGAATAAACTATACATGAATTGACTTAAAAACGTGTTGTTCTGAATGGAACATGACTTGAACATATAAGACTTTTCGACTTTCACCACTTATTCATTGATCAGAGATGCATCAATTTACTAAACTAAATCTTTACTTACCTTAATATATCAAAATATGAAGCTTCCAAATAATTACATTTATTTAATTCATCAACGTGTCGATAAAAGGAAAAAAAAATTCACAAAATGCAAAACAAACTAAGCGATATATCATTTTGTTTACATCAATTCGTAATGTACATTTTAAATTTAACCGCTTTACCTGTTGCCAAATGTTCCAGTAACTGCCTGCAAGAAGTAGCCCAAAAATAGCAAACTCAATTCGTCATTTCTATTTCTTCCGCTGTTTGTCCCACTTTATATGGTGCTTTTTTGTGTTTTTTCCCTCACTGTATCCTATGCGTCTTACTTCAATTCTTTTCGTTTAAGTCCACTTCAATTGTATATCCGTTCTTTTTTCTTTTAACTTTTTCCGCCCTGTGGGCACTAAGAGGGCCTCTTTAAGCAAGCCCATTATGGGTTCGGCCAGGCCCATAATGGGGCGGCAGGGTGGTGAGGGAGGGAGCCAGCGTCGACTGTAATTTAAAAAAATATATATATACAGTCGACCCCCATATAACGCGGTACATACGTTCCACTTTATAAGAATTCCGCGTTGTAGGAATCCTTAAATACATGAGCCAATCACAGCCCGACACGTGTGCAGTTTACGGACTACGGCTGTTTCAAAGGTTTTCTTCCATAAAAATAATCGATTCTAGACTAATTTGACTCAACTTTTCCAAAACTTAAAATTTTTTGGGAATAATCCGTATAAACTATGCTATAAACAAAAAATTGTAGGATTACTTACCGAGTGTGCACCGTTCGACGACGCCATTGCTTAAGCTTGTTTTCATCGCGGAGCGGCGCACCAAACGGCGGGCGCATTTTCTAATACGTTATTTTTCTGCGAAAAATTCGCTGAAATTTGGAGACATCATTAATAAAAATAATTTTTATGGTGGTTGAATAAGAAATGTTTGTTTTTCACAAGAAATGTATAAAATTACAGTACTGTATTAGACTTACAGTACCTAATTTATATACTGTACAGACGATAGTAAACTCAACTTACCCGCCTAAACTCTCCATAGCGTGTAAGTAGTTCGGCTGCTTGTCCACTATTGGTCCAGATTCGACCAATCCTGTCGCGACACGAGTCGGCGATGACGTTTTACCGCATTTTACGAGTCTCTGTTAGCGTCTTTATACGAATACGGTCGCAATTTTTTCGCCGCGATATACGAATCTGCATTATATGAACCCGCGATATAGGGGGTCTACTGTATTTTATTCATTAAATTACTGTAACAATGATATAGCATGAAATACATGCACCATTACACCATTACTGCACATAGCACTTGCCTGCGTGGAGTGTAGTACTGTTTGCCCCTGTACATCATACTTTTCCTGTTAGCAATAGAGTCGTGCCTGATATGTATCTAACTATGGGGAAAAATTTTTGTATTGAAATAACGGCTTGTAGTACAAACCATAAGTTCATATATAAGTACTGGTACTTTTTTCTTACGATTTCCATGTCTGATTTCTACTTTCATCTATCTAACTCCGTTCTCGAGAGTAAGGAATGACAGATAGATAGGTGACTACAGTGGGAATTTACAGATAGATAGGTGACTACAGTTTTTTCAAATTGCAACCCGATAATTTTTACATAAACGCAATATTTACGAAAACACACTTCCTGCATAGTTTATACAATCTGTTGACAAAATTTTAAAAATTTTATCATCATATAAAAGCAATTATGATACCATTTTTACAATTTTTTTTATTTATTTAAACAAGTTATACGAAGTCTTTCAAACGTTAAGGTTAGCAACGTCGATCACCAGCGGGACCATCACAACACATCCAACACAGATTACTTTTCAAATATTAATAGTAGACCGATATTAATGACTAGTCGCTGACGACTACTTTTGGTCGAATTAACTTAGACTCCCTTCTGAAACAGTTCCTTCATTCTATCGGACTAGTGGTATTCGAATAGGAAAATTACAATATAAGGTTGCCGACCAGCACAAAACATGATTTAAGTGGTTTTCGAGGGTGTAGAGTTTAAATATTTGGTCCTTTTTTTTCCGAAATTTGATTGGTTGGCAGATTACAGTTTGATATTCGGCTGTGAATGGTAGAAAATATTATGATACCTGAAAATTTAAGATATACTTTCAATTCCTGTCTACTTGACCATTGAATTTGTACCATTTCGTACCATCCGAGTATCGCGATAAACGTGACAATGGTAGGCTGAAATAACCAAACTCTATATGATTTTCGTTTTCATGTTTGTTATACAGTATTATAATATTTAATTTATATAACTACAAAATTTACTTTAGGTAAAAGTTTATCACACCGAGTGACCAATATCCACATTTTAAAAATTCTTTATTTCTCTATTGTACACAATTTAAAGAATTTTTAAAATGTGTTAGAGTGAGCACTCGAAGTGATAAACTTTTTTACGTATATGTAGACAAGCAAAAATCTTTGCAAACAATGTATTTCTAATAATTTGATTTATTTTCAAATTGGCACAATTTTATAAATTTTAATCAGTTACAATATTCAAAATGTTAAATATATAAACGGCTTGCTGTATATTATTACAAATGTAAATTCGTCTCTGTAATCCAAAAACACACTTTGGTAGACGTATCTTACAGCAATTTCTGGTTAGCAAATTATCCTTTATTTTTCATTGGACAACATATATATTTCGGGTTGGTATAATACTCCAACCCCTCTTCAGTGCTAGTACAAATAAAAACAAGAAATATTAAAACATGACTATGTTTCATTATATAAAATCAAACCAAATCACAAAAACACTTACATTTACTAATTATGTAAACCAGGGCTGTCCAACCCGCGGCCCGCGGGCCGCATGCGGCCCAAGACAAGTTCCAATGCGGCCCAATAAACGTGTAAACAAAACCGACAAATTGTTTTAATTTTCTATTATTTATTTATTTCAACAACATAAACTCAAAAAAGAAGTTTCACAAAGTCGTAAACCTTCATTCATATTTTATTTTTGAGTGGAAAGAAATATTTTCAAATACTCTGAG